TAAAAAAAATTTATTTCTTTATAGTGCTGGTAAAAAAATTTATTATTTTTTTCTCTTTCTTATTTTTAACTCTAAGGAAATTAAATTTATAATAATTCTCAAAAAATTTCCTTATTTTTCTGAAATATTGAAGGGAATATTTAGAGATTGTCATTTATAATAGTTTCAAAATAGTTCCTATCATGGGTATCACAGGGATTAAATTTTTGAGGGGAACAAAATTAAATTACAATCACGATAGTTCTCTAAATTTCGCACGTAAAAAAAATTAATTTCTTTATAGTGCTGGTAAAAAAAATTATTATTTTTTTCTCTTTCTTATTTTTAACTCTAAGGAAATTAAATTTATAATAATTCTCAAAAAATTTCCTTATTTTTCTGAAATATTGAAGGGAATATTTAGAGATTGTCATTTATAATAGTTTCAAAATAGTTCCTATCATGGGTATCACAGGGATTAAATTTTTGAGGGGAACAAAATTAAATTACAATCACGATAGTTCTCTAAATTTCGCACGTAAAAAAAATTAATTTCTTTATAGTGCTGGTAAAAAAATTGATTATTTTTCTTCCTTATTTTTAACTCTAAGGAAATTAAATTTATAATAATTCTCGAAAAATTTCCTTATTTTTCTGAAATATTGAAGGGAATATTTAGAGATGTCTAATTCATAAGGGGACATATAAAATCGTCCATGGTTCCTGAAGGACCTCTTTATCATTAGATGTTTACAAAGATAATGTTAAATGAAATGCCCTTAACTTTAATCGTACATAAATGAAAATATGTGCTTTGAAATTAATATTTATAAATAATATAGATGTTTCTGAGTATTTACTGAAAGATTTTATAGAATTTCATGTTAAAACTTTTGGTCTAATGTGTTTGAGCAAAAAACGTTTGATTTTCAGAGCTATGATCTTTGGGATGAACATAACTGCATAAATGTATGTTAGTGACAAGCAGACTTTAGTACCTGTTGATCTTAAATCTGCCTAAAAGCTGTTTAAACTTTTACATAAACTCATTCGTTTTTTTTTTTTAGTTCAACCAAATGAATACAATGAGGAAGAAGATGATGTTGTAGAAGACGACCTACCAATTAAATACGAAAATCAGAAGTTTTGGATATCTCTTCCAGTTCCTGGAGAATTAATTGGGTAATTGACAAACAACAGGAATTCTTTTGCTTGAATTCTTTTCATACATGTACTGAATATTTCAATGAAACTGTTTTTAATGCCTTCAGAAAATTTCTTTTTAATTGAAAATCTTTTTTAATGAATTAAAAAATTAATTTCTCCTTAAAAAAAAAATTGTCCAGATGTATACAAATTTTGCCGAGATCTATATACTGTATATCTATCATACATGGGAACGTTATTTTTAAGAAGTAACGAGTAAAAGTACAAATACTTTAAGTAAAACTAAGAAGTTTTGATTTTGAAGAGTAAAGAGTACAAGTATAAATACAGGCACAAAACAAAATAAAGTAGCAATTTTTAAGTACATTTCAAGAAAATCGTACAGGAAATCAAAAATACAAAGTAATCTTAAATTTCAGTAAAAAATGTGAAAATATCAAATCGAAAATCAATATTCCATATCTGTATATAAGAAAGAGTTTTAATTTATGCTAATTTTAAAACTACCAAATGTTTAGAACTTTTTACTTTCGAAATACTAGTAATAAATTAAATTTTTTACCAAATTTGATAAACACTATAACCCTTGTTTTAAGAAATAAGTAAACCGATAGAAATTTGTATCCATATGCAGGGAAATTTTAAAAATTCATTACTTTATAAATTACATTTTGTTTTCACAAACGTTGAAAAATTTCTTTTAAATAATGCCAAATTTTTAATTTGCAATGTAGATATGTCATAGTGAATTCTCTTGTAATCGAGTACGAAAGTTCTATTGCTAAATTTAATTTTATGAGGAACTAAATGTCTACATGGTAAATATGTTTTGAACAAAATCAAAAAATAAATAAATACAATTTTGGAATTTTCTTTTGCATACGATATATCATTACAAAATAGCATAATTTTTGTGTATAAAACTTAAATACCAAAAAATTTAAATGCTGCTCAAATTATGCTTGGTTTAGTAACAGCAAATAAATTATTGAATTTATTAGGAATTTTAATTTATTGAATTTATTTATTACTTAAGCACCTGACATACCATAAATTTAGGAGAATCATAATCAAATTTGGGAGGTTGACTTGTACACTTAGATATAGTTTGTCTATGGTAAGAACTCCCCCTGCCAAAGGAAATGCTATGGAAACAAGAAAAGCTCATTTCAGGGAGGGTAGCTTCTCTTCACTTTAGGGTTAACACAATATACTAAAGAAAAAGATTCCCCTTCTCTCGCTGACGCAAGCCAAAACCTGTTCTAAACAGTGACCCAACACCCCTACTTGAAAAAGTTATATACCTTGTTACCATAGTCACTGCCACGGATCCAGGCGAATGGATAGGATAGTTTTTACTATAAGTTTGGTATCATTAGACAGGCTTTTTCAAAATATTACACAAGTCTCTTTTCATTTATTTATTTTAATCTTGCATGTATTTCTTGAGATGTTTCCATTTTAAAAATTTCCAACTGTAATTATGCACTGTCTGAATGATATTAGTAGATCATAACGCTGAGGAACAATTTTTTCTCTTCTGTTGCATGAGATTTCTTTCAAACAAATATTATATACTTTTGTATCATTGATTTCAAATTTGCAATCAGTTTCTCTCTTCAAGCTGCAGTTTTTTTTTTTTNCAAAACATATATATTTTCAAATTTATAAATTGATTTAAATCAATATGCGTATGAAGTCTTGATAGAAATCTGACTTTCTGTGCCTTAAAGTAAATGAAATTCAAAAATACTATATCGCGATACATCGCTATATCGCGATGCAAAACTGACGATATATCACGATATATAATTTCTAATATCGCCCAGTCCTATCCATAACATATAAAAGCGCCAATCATTTTACATGTTTTATGAAATACTTGCTAGTCATATATTCTGAGCTGGGTTCGATGAGATTACTGCACTCTCACGTACAACTCTGCTGCATGTTGCAAGATACTCTCAGTTTCAGGCTTCACTTTCCACCCTCTGATATTGAACCGAAAAATCTCTCGATCATTTTATAATGGCTAATATAATCAAGAAAAGAGTTCTTTGACAGAAGTTATTTTATCATGATCATGTAAAGTCTTCGAAAATTATTTTGAATTTTTTTAATGTACTTAGTGCTTAAAAATATTTTTTGAGTGCTTATAAAAAGTACTTAAAAAGTGCTTATTTTTTGTTTGAAGATTTGGCTACGTGCCCTGTTTAAGAACAAATCTAATTTCGATTTGAAATCTCCACATTAGAATTAGGAAAGATGAGGTACTTGTATAAATTCAAAAAAAAAAAGTTCCCCTTCGTAAATATAATAAAGTGTATATAATATCAAATGTTATGTAATTAAGTATAATGTTTTTTTTTGTTTTGTATTTCCAGTTATGTGTGTGGGAAACAAAATAAAAATATCAAGAGAATTAAGGACTCAACAGGAGCGGAAATTAAAATTCCCAGCAGACTAAGTGGTCCAGATCGTGGTGGAAATAAATATGGAAATGAAAGAAGTTCAGATTTTGGTAACGTTTATTCTTCTTCACTTTTTTTTAAAGAATGAATCGTATCTGATTACTCTCTTTTAGTTTTAGCACAAGTTAAATCTATGTAAGTTGATCCCTTGCGGAGAATTGCTTTTATTGTTGAACTTACAGCAAGGAAGGAGTCTTAATTATTATTTCTTATGTCATGTTTAGATTCGTGAAATTTTGATATTTTGTAATTATCGTGCTAACAATGTTAAAAATATATTCTCTCAAAACATTATGAATAAGTCAAATTTCGACATCGATAATATGCGGCTTTTAAATCAATATTAAAGTAGGTATGTAGTTAAGCTGTATTGAACAGTTTTTAGTAATCCAGGAAACTGAGAAACTCTGCAATAGTGTGCGTTGGCTACCAGCATTCTGGTAATCGGTCTTCTACTATAATTTAAATTAGGTTTAATAATAGTATAAAAAGTAGAAAAAATTATTCTATGCACGGTGGAATAGAATATTTTCTGATAATATTTTCTAGTGAACTTATAAAGAGTTCAGAGTTGCAATTAATTACACTCTTAGACAAATTTGACAGTCGCTGTACAGGTTAGACAGGTTGTCAGGTCCCAAAGGAGCAAAGGTTCCTTTTATTGTATGAGATAAATTGATTTCATCTTAATTAGATGATCAAGTTACATGGATTAATCATTTGTAATTTATGTGCTATTAATTTTTAAAATAAAACATGTTATTGATAAAATTCTTTTTATATACATACAAATTTTTACTAAAAATGCTGCTAAACCATTTTTTTTTGTCTCTAAATTTATCATTATTTTAATTTATATATAGATTGTATTACAGTCGAACTCGTTTATAACGAGCTCGGATTTAACGAGGGAAACGAGAATATTTGGTTGGATCAATGTTAAGTCTATGGAACAGAAGTCGCTTTTAACGAGCAAGACCCGGTTTTAGCGAGCAATATTTTTCTGTCTGGCAATCTTTTTTCTCATCTTTCTGTCTTATCTTTTTTTCAAAATGATATGAAATGCGCGAGTTAAAAGTAAGCTGACAAAATATTTTAAATATGTAGATTAATGAAAAAAATAAATGTTTTGGTAATAATCTTTTCCTTTATTTTTCTTTCCGTTTATATTTCCTTTCCTTTAAGACTGTAGCGCAACTAGAAATTTTTTGCTGGTTTGGGGGGAGGGGTTAGTTGTCACTAAATTAAGATAAATATTTAATTAAAGTAAGTAAGTATTATTTAAATTTTAAGTCAACTTAATCATTTGACCTCCCAAGCCCCCCCCCCTCTTCTGGTTGCACGTCTGCCTTAAGGATCCATTTATTACGAGCACTCAGATTTAACGAGTACATGTTACGGTCCCTTTGTGTTCGTTATAAACGAGTTCGACTGTATTGTTTTATTGATTGTATTATTATTGTATGTCATTAAGAATTTTTATTAGATTTTTATTTTAAAATGTCGGTACCTAAGACCTGCCGACTCTTTCATTATCACTCCCATGATCTCAGAAGTGACTCCTATTTTTTTGTTTGTTTTTTTTTGTTTTGAGTCATGCTTAGTTTCTAGCAAAATTTGAATCTTGAGTATTATTTTATAGCTGGCGTTGAACAACCAACTCAATTCTGAGTTTATAGCTATTAATATCCAACTCCATAACCTTATAATTTTGTATCATTTGCCGGCCAGGTGCTTGACTGCTAAGATTACCGTTAATGGATTCGAATCCTGCTCAGGGCATGAATGTTTCTCTCTGTGTAGTTTTCTGGTCCGTGAATGTGGCCCACCCTATAAACGGGTATCTGTGGCGTGGGTAATGCTGGTCGCCTCCATGACTTAGGTTTGCAGTTGCCCACCAGGTAGCATTAAGGAGCAACATATCTGGCATCGACCGATGGAAGAACGAGTGTTCAGTACCTACCGTTAAAAAGCAAAAATATTGTATTATTCATGTTATTCTCATCTAAAATTTCTTTAACGGACATGTTAGACATACCTTTACCAAGTATTTTATTTTATAACTGTCGTTAAACAGCCGACCCAATTTTTGGGTTTACGACTACTAATGTTCAACTCCGTAGCCTTGTAATTTTGAATCCAATCCAGAAGACAAGGGAACTCCTTTATCAAGTATTGGGAGAAATGTTATCGTCATGGAGGACTTTTTGATGGAACTAACCCACATTTGTGTTACATGGAGAGGAAAATCTCCCACAGTTAGCCTGACGGCAAAGGGACTCTAACCCATGATCCGCCTGCCACTGAGGATATTTTACGTCAGCGCTGTGGTTGGTGCAAGCTGTATGTGGTATTCGTGTTGACCAGCCATCGCTGGGATTCGAACTCGGTTTACCTCATAGGAAGGCTAACGCTCTATCATCCGAGCGATCACGGCTATTATTAAGTATTGAAAAATATGCTTAAATACAATTTAGCAACAAGAAAGTTTATTATTGGGTGGTTATTACACAATTACTGCTACATTTAAGGTATGTTGAGGGTATGTGTTTTGTAGCTATAAAGCTTAAGATGTAAAAATTTGTGTAAAATGTATTTTCGTGCCCCGATAAATGCATAATTTTTGAACCTCTTTCTTCCAGTGATAACTGCTGAGAAAGAATCATCTGTGTCGCAAGCTTACAGAATGTTAAAAGAAATAATGAATTCTGGTCGTTGGAAAATAGCCGACTTTACTCATTTCATTTCTATACCAGTGAATAGTGATTCTATACAAAAAAAGTTCTTGACGTTCTGCAAAGCCGTATCACAGTCATGTCCTTCAGTGAGTTTCTTTTGTTGTAAAAGAGCAAAATATTAGCAATGTATATGCAGTAGATTTTTATAACCTTGTAGCATAAGGATAAGTTCTTTATAGAATTTTGTGTAATCATTTCACAAATCTTTAACCTAGCCTACTAAACATGGATATATTTATCCAATATTGATGAATCATAAAAATGATTTTTAGATACAAATTCTAAAAATGCAAAAGTATGTACTTCAGTACTCATTATTTATAGTAAGAAAAGAAATTCGGAATTTTCTTGATCGATGGAACTAATATCAAACAGGGTGCGTAGCATTTTTAAAAAGTGCTTATTTTTGATTTACGTTTTTTAAAAGCCCTTAAAGGTGCTTCTTTTATTTGAGGTTTGTAAATAGTGCTTAATTTTCTATCTTTTAAAAGACAGAAAATCTCTTTCTAAAAAGAGATTTCTTTTCTTTGCCATGTCGATTGTCAACCAAAATTACAAAAAATGCATGATTTTCAGAATTTTCTCTGCAATATTTATCAGAAACTGATTATTTTTATCATGATTATGTAAATTTTTTAAAAATGTTTTTGAATTTTATTGATTTTGTGTTTGTAAATTAAGAACTTTAAAAAATATTAAAAAATCTTTTTTATTACTGCGCGGATCCTAATTATGATTTTTTTAATGATTGAAAACATTTTTTGAGTGCTTGAAAGGTGCTTTTTATTTGTTGAAAAATCTGGCTAAATTTATCTGATCAAATAAATTTATCGATAATTAAACAAAAGTTAATTGTTCTTGATTGGTTACAAAAATTTTTTAGTTTAAATTTTCATTGGTTACACCCATAAAATTTGAGGTGGTTTAGAGAATTTCCTCTTCAACTGTAGCTTAGTTTCTATGAAATTTTATTTTTTTCCCAATGTAAATTATTTTGAATATGAGCGTTATTTACAGTATTTATTTTCCTTTAATTTCAAGTTCTTTAACTGTCTCGTAGTTAAAAATCAAAATGCTAGGTCGTTGTAACACGATTTGTCATTTCTGCAATCCATTTTTCTTAAAAAAATTTTGTTTTGAAAAGAGCTGTTACTAACAATAATAAGGAAACCGGAATAGAATAAAAAAAAACATTGCTTAGTTTTAACAAAATATTAACTTATACTTGTTTTTTCATTACAGTCATGATGTTACAAATTTTCTGAATTAAAGTTTAAAATTACCAAAATTAGTATTTTTCGAAAAAATTGCTTTTTTTTATAAAAATAATTGTAATATAATGTTATTAAAATAAATAAATGTTAAAATTATTTTACAATGTTAATTTATTTATTACCATAAATTATTAATTATTTTGAAACTGATTAATTAAATTAAGAACTTAATGTCACACATTTCTTGAAAAAAAAAATACAACCTGAGGTCTATTCAGTATAATTTACTACTGTTTAGCAGTAACTTCACAAATTTAACTTCAGGAAAAACGATGGTTTCAGAAAATGCTTTTAAAAAAGCAAGTTCTCGTGCAAACCTCGTTCTCGTTGCAATCTATGAAAAGGAGGAGCCAGCTGTCTTTTACGAAAAGGTAGCATGTGCTTGGTCAGGTAGTGTAATGTGGTAAGCCTAACCAATCGTTTGCGCCATATCAAAGCGAGCTTTTTGAAAATGAAACGACGAAGTTCTCTCCCAATAAACTTTACAGGAAGTTAAAATTGGAATATTATTTTAAGCATTTGAGTCGAAAATGTTCTCATAATGAAAATAACTTTTAGTACTAGTAAGTACTGTTAAATGCATGTTTTCGTTAAATTGAAATGTAACTATGGACAATGATTTATGAATTTTTGTATTTGGATACAATTTTAAGCCCAAAATTTTACAATAGCAAAGTTATTTTTGAATATATGGGGAAAAATATATACAAATTTACCAGTCATAAGTGATTTTTATTTGTAGTGACAATGATTGAAAATATTTTCTTACTTTACCGTATTTTTGTGTTGGTTTTTCAATGTAATTTTTTTATTTTCTCAAATTATGTCTAAACTTTCACAAAATAGGTACCTCTTAAAAAACCTAGACAGACCCCTGATAACACCACTTTTTCTATTAAGAATTCATGTTTTATTTAAATACTTTTAACAATCAAGCAATATAACATTAAAATATATATTGCAAGCTTTAAAAAGGTTTCAATATTGGTAAATATTCGAATCAATATTGGTAAAGGTTCGAATTTTTAGTGTTTAGTTTACTTTTAGTGAGAGTGCCCACATATGCTTTAAAGGCAACTGAAATATTTAGCAATGGATTTTGTCAAAAAAGGAAAAATGTTAGATACTGTTTGTAGTCGTTCTGATGTTTCTGATATCTTTTTGGAATTTAGTCATTTACGAAAGAAAAAAAAATATTTTTAGATTATATTTTTATGGTGTAATTCAGGAGAAATGCAGTAACAGATCTTGTAATGTGAAGTTTTGCAATTTAGCAATAGTTCATTTGTTTCTTTCATCTAAATTTCAAGGGGCCTGGTTGGCAGGACGCTGCTCTCACATTTGTGAAAACGGGAGTTCAAATCCAGCCTGCTGAAGACTCCCCATGTAGTAGACAACTAACTATGCATTGATTATGCAACGATGCCAAAATTTTGTAAAAAATTAACACATCATATCACAACAATACAGAAACTTTATTACTAAATTAATTCGATTGCTCAATTAATTTTTGATTAATGTACTTCTGTTGTATTTAGCAACCCCCACCATTCAGGCTGAGAGAAAAATATTGCTAATTAATAGAAGGCATCAATTATTTAACATTAATTTATTATTTCATTAGATTTAGTGTGTCGTTTAAAAGTGTATAATATTTTATATTTTACTTTAAGGATTTTCTCAAGTAGTCAGAACAGAGAAAATTGGTCAACTAGTTCTTCTAACCTTGTTAATTAGGGTTGCAAATTTTGAGCATTTATAGATAATGTACTACAAATAACTATACTTTTTTTTTAAAAAATGTACATACGTTTTTCAATTGAGTAATAGAAGATTTAAATTAAGTTATTTTAAAACAAGCTAAAATGATCTTCATCTAATTAACGGAAATATAAGTATTGATAATTTTTTCTGAAAATGCACAAAGCTTAAATTTTAGAAATATACTATGTTGTTTTTAAAAAAAATTATTTAAGAAAGTTGAAACTTATGTTTCAGGCAGTGCAAGGAGCCGTCTTTACAAATCCATCTAAGCTTCATTTAACGATTTGTATGTTAACTTTGTTAGACAAGAGAGAAATGGAAGAGGCCAAAGCTGCACTAAATGACTGCGCCTCTGAAATAACGTAAGTCGACATTAAAAACTTCTCTGATACTATGGCATTTGATGGTACATTAAATGGTGTAAAAATAAACATAGATTAAATGGCATAAGTCATAGCCACCGAGAGTCAATGCCTCTCAGTAGATTTGTGACGTCATCCTCTGAAGGGCTAGCGTAGCGAAGCATGAGATAACGCGGTATTCAGATTTGTATTAAAGGAAAAGTATAGTAAATAGTTCAAACTTTTGAGCCAAGTAATATATTTTTGCTTTAGCTAATTTAATAGCACTTAAATTTTCTTTTCAAGTGGTGAATTTTTAGCTTTTTAAGTTATTTTTAAAGTTATAACTCAAAAAAGTGAACATGTAGGACTTCTTGATGCTTTTCAATAGAAATGAATAAATAGAAATGAAGAAATGAAATTTAATAAGAAATGTTTTACTTTTAATTTTTAAATCTTGATTCCTCATAACTATTTTTAATATCAAGAGAATAAACCTTATTTAAGTGTATAATTTATTATTTTCTAATATGTAATTATATATTAGATTTAATCATATTTGAAAATAAGAAATGATACATTTTAATAATGAAACGGATACGAGACAAATAAAAATATGTTATATCATGGCAGAAAAGAGACAAATAAAGAAATAATAGTTTTATTGGCACATTTATAAAATTTTTACTTTTATTTTACATATTCTCTTCCAGACTTATAAAATAAACATAAAAATGGGAATAAAATGAGAATTAGTACATATAATCTGGAGCAAACTCAAAATATATTTATCCTTAAGATTGCAAAAATCTAAATTTAAATTTATTATTTTTTTTAAAAAAAGAATGTTTCTTTTTTAGTTTTAGTATAGATAGATCATTATATGGTAGTTCAAAAAATAATAAAGGAGATAATAACATAACAATTTAATAATATTTTTTGTTGCCAGAGTTGTACAAAAATATATTACAAGGAGGAAATATTGATTGGATAATTATAGGGAAAAATAACATATTCTAATAAAATAGAGAAGATTCTTTAATATGAACGAACTACATTGAATATTAATTAAAAAGTTGTCTCTTTATTACTTTCTAAAATATACACACTACAATCTTCCCAATTTTTAAAATTGCAAGTTTCAGCAACATTTAGAAAAAATATTATCAGCACGCTACCGTAAATCTGTGCACTTATTTGCTTATTTATCTATTTGAACAATTTCTACGGTTATGCGCAGAACCGAAAAAAAATATACAGATATATTTTGAATACACGAATGTAACATGCTTTGAAAGGTTTAATAATTTTTAAAACGTTTATAAAACGCACTATTTTATAAAGTAAATTAGGCTGATTCTAAAAAAAAATATTACTTTAACAGAACTCGGATTCAAGTAACATGTAAACACCAAAAAAGCATGTAAGTGAAAAAGTTTTCGTTTTTGCATTAAAAATTACTGTCTTTTTGTCAAAAAATGCACATCAATTTATAAAAATTGTAGACAGGAAGATAAATATTTTTCAGAGTGTTATTTGAAAATTTTATTCAAGCAATAAATTATCTTTCAACACTTTTAACAATCTTTGGTTAATGTGAGGCATTAAAATTAAGTTACAATATTTAATAACAAATTATAAAATAGTAAGAAAAAATATTTAAGGTATCAGCATAAGATAACACAAAACAATTCATCTGTATTCGAAAGATTCATACCACATGAAGCATGAGCAACAGTTTCATTAATATTCATTTAAATAATAACATACAAAACGTAAAATGGCTAACAATGAATTAAATTCCTTTTTTATTAATATGATCTAATGTATCGGAGTTTTTTTGTTTCAAGTATGAATATTTATGAAATTTTACTCATATGATGGTAAGCTATATCTTTAAGAATAAATAGCTTCAAATGCCAGTCCACATTGTTATGAATTTTTTTTTCATTTAAAAGTATAACTAAAGCTTTTTATCTAGTTTTTTTAAATAACACAAATGGTAACTCCTAATGACATCTTATATTTGTTTACGTATAAATTTAAACAGGACATTTACATTTGTTGTATTGTAAGTCTAAAAGTTTTGCAAAAGTACGAATGTTTTGCTAATTTCATATTCTAAATTTAACTAACAATAAACAATACCTAAAGCAATGTAATTCTTAAATACAACTTACTTCATTATTTAATTAAAAAGCTTATTATTAAGTCTGCAAAAATGAATATTAAAACATGAATGATAAATAACACTTACTGGAAGGTTTATTAACGGTTATTTGATAAAATGTCTAGTTTGATGGAATTAATCCTTTTTTTTTAATTTCCTCACACTTCAAAAACCTAAATACTGATACTTAAGGCCCATTTTTGTAGTTCCTTTTGCATCTTGGAACTACACACGCATATGCCATTGTTAAAAGCTGTAAAATAATGCAACATGTATTTTTTTAAATCGTTTAAAAAGACACATCCGACGGACAAACGACACTGCTATTCAATGACGGAAAAATATTTGAAATTGGCGATTAATCGCAGATCCCCACACTATTTGACGTCACTAAAAGACCTTGATGATCTCAACGGCCTTATTTCTCGGTGGCTATGCATAAGTGCACTATTTACAGGGAATCCGCGCTCCTGGAAAGTCATAAATTTAGGTCGCCGAAAAATCTAATTTTTAAAGTGGAATTTATCCCCTCCCCAATTTCATGGTGTTCCGAATATCTGAATTTGTAACAAAATCCCCACTCACAGTCATATTTGATTAAAATATAAAATGTTTTAATCCTGTTCTTCTCTTGTAATCAATTATGGTGCTCTCGTGTAATCAATTATGGTGTTCTTTCAAAAAATGAAAGAAAAAACATCATTTCTAGGGCGAATTATCTTTTAAACTTCTGTGATTTCGGAATTTTTGTTATTATTTATTTATTTTTTATTTTATCAACTTAAAATTTCAGCTGAAGCAAACCAGTCATTGGTGAATTTTTTTATTCCGAAATGAAAACAGAAAAATCCGGAGTATTTCTTTCCTTTCCAATGAACAAGAAAAGTATCTTTAGAATGTAATTCTGCAGAAAAAAAAGAGAATTTTTTTTTTTTGTTTTGCTTTTGTATTTTTTTTAGCTATTTTATTGCTTCAATTCTTTCTTTACTCTGTATTTTAAATTTAAAATCTATAAATATGAAGATGCAGAGTATAACAGTTTTGGCCATACCTATCATTTCAGTGAATATTATTATAAAGCTTTTTGAAATGTATTGTTGTATTTTTGTCGGAGAAAATAGTAACTTCGTTAAATCATGAAAAATTCTTGCAATTAGTCATGGAAAGTCACGGAAAGTCATAAATTTGAAAATCAAAAATGTAGCAGATACCCTGTATTTACAGATGTCTTGTGGTGTAACTACCACTACAATTATTAAAGACCAATTCACTAGTACACAAGACATGCTTACTAGATTCAATCTTGAAGTACCTCTTGATAGATGAAGGTTGACATTGTTGGTAGCCTAGCCCCACATGGGCGTGATCTGGACACGCTTGTCTCATCCAACTCTCTACACTAGTGATTTTAGGACGTGATTTGAGCACGCCTATCTCGATATGAACACGCCTAGTATTATGGATGTAACATAGTGAACAGTTGACTTGCAGTTTGTGACTGTAACATAGTCCTCCTCGCGTCATTATCGACTAAACACAACGGGGCCTCTACGCATTCGACTGCTAATAAGCAGTACAAGAGTAACCAAGCTCACAACCGTCATCTTAATACACCCTCTCATGACAAACGGTGAACTTAATACAGCTCTCACTGCAAGCGCTCAAAATCCGGTGATCTTAATGCAGCTTTCCCAGTCTTTTTCAAATACGGTAGCTAGTGGTATCAGTTTGTCGAATTCAAACCCTGTTAAAATTCTGGTGGGGGAGCATTGTGCTGTTACTGTTGGTGATCACCCACTTAATGAATAAAAGGGGTAGCAGAGAAAATATTGCTTACCCTTGGTTGCTGCATGGTCACTTGTGTTTGTCTTCACATGTGCTACTGTAGTACCTGGTTCGACTTACTCGAGATAACTAAGGCATTTATAATTCAGTTTAAAAAGGTCAGATTGCCTTTTAAGTTAAGAGTTTATTATTAAATAAACATAATTTGGAAGTTGGCGAGCTCTTAACAAGAAGGATAAATGAGTAGTGAAGTGAAAATAAAGTTATACATTTCATAATTGAGCAGCGCCATCCAGTGGCTAAAATAATAAAAGATTACTTATTAAATGGAAAGATTAGTGATGAAATATATATATTTTATGGCAGTTACTACCACTACAATTATTAAACATCACTAATATATAAGACATGCTACCTCGTTTCAGTCTTGAGGTACATTTTGATTGATGAAGATTGATGTTGAAAGATTTGTCCCCACAGTCTTGTTTCCTGACTTTAAAATCACATAGCTGAGTTGGAAAACAAATCAGGAAGTTCTAATAATTTTTGTTAAAATATCTCTTGGTATAATTTATACTTATTTCACATTTTAATGACTTTCATTAGTTTAATCAATAGTGCTAATTCAGTTATTTATAGCATGGCTAAAATGGATGTATCTTTTATGCTATATTTCATAGATCAAGTTTTTGTTTATGAAAATCTATTAAGAAAGAAAAAGAAACATTTAACCAATGGATAACCAGTGATTGCAATAATACAATCACAATTTTCTTCCTTTCGTAATTATTTTTACTTATTTATTTTTTATTTTATTATTATTATTATTCTATAAAATTTGGCTTTAATAAACTACTTAAATAGAGCAAGTTATAATTTTTTTGATTTGTGTACTTAAATTTAAATTTTAAGTTAGTTTTATAACTGCATTGTCAAAGAAAAATGTTTTTGATGCTCTTTTTTAGTGTTAATTATAGTGCGGCTTTCAGGAGAACTCCTCCAGAAACCCGTCTCTCGTCGTGGCGGGTACTATGGTTTCCGAGGAAAGGTCACTTCGAATAGGGGTGTGGGATGAATAGTTTTGTCTTAACCTTAGCGTAGGTCCTCGTGAGTAAAGCAATCGACACCATCTTTCCTCCATTTCACCCCCATTAGAAATGTGCTCTCGCTTGTTACCATAGCAGCAGACAGCCCGAGACTTTCAGTCTGGAGGAGTTCTCCTCAAAGCTGCACTATACATTTCATCAAAATTACCGTTTTTCTCGGACACCATGTATGTTGTTGATAATGTAGTTAAACTTTTGTAATTAACTTTTGCAGGAAAATGCTTGGTCAAAGAAGATTGAAGTTAGATATTAAAGGTATCGAGTATATGAATGATGACGATGCAGAAGTTGATGTACTGTATGCGAAAGTTATTGAAACTGATGGCAGCAATGTGTTAGTCTTATAATAGCTTATTTATCAATTTTCTATCTTCTACAACAAATGAAAGGCAATTGTTAGTGTTACTTCTATGGAATAAAACTTCAACTTTGTTTCAAAATTGGTAGTACAACTTTAACCCCTTCCTTCTGGCTCCCGTGAAAATGGCGGGTTGAGGTTTCGCCCTGTATTTCTCACTCTCGTGATATTCCCAGGCTGGAGTGTTCAGTAGTAGCGTGCAAATAAGAATAAAACTAATTCATTTCTTTTGCCCAGAAAATTTTTTTCTCTCATTTTGCACACCAGATGGTAGTATCAGGATATTTTTAAGGTAATTGCAGTTAGTTAGTAGTATATTTTAAACTAGATGTCAGCACTAATAAAATACTTGTATAATATACACGTATAAAAAAATAGGCACTTTTATGACCATTTTCTTGAAAATTGACCAATCATTAAGGGGTTAATAATCTCAAATGGAAAAAAAAGTGCTGTTTATACAAGAAAAAAGTTAAATCTTTCCATCTTTCTCTTCTGTCTTCTTTGCCATGCCATTAATAAGTATTCCACATAAAGTTTATAGAACTAGTACAAATAATGCATTTAATGGAAGCAATTTCTTTAAATGATATTATTAACATGATGATAGAACAAATGTTAGCAAAACTTCAATGCAAAGGAAAGGGCCTGGTTGGTAGGGCACTTGGCCCATGTCCTAGTGGTCGTGGGTTCGATACCCGCCGGCCAAAGACTCCCCGTGAAGTAAAGGGTGACTGATTCACGTTAAATCTGTCATGTCACAAAGTCCTCCATGTTCCCATAACAAATCAACACCCATGGGGGTACTGATCCATGAGTGTCCTTGTCTTCTGGACTGTGTTCAAAATTACGAGGCTACGGAGTTGAACATTAGTAGTCGTAAACCCAAACTTGGGTCGGCTGTTCAATGACGGATATATTATAAAATGAAAAGGAAAAACTTTTTTTTGGGGGGTGGGTGGGTCTAAAGTTTTTAGCTGCTGCCATTCAATCTAAGGAAAATAGCTGTTTAAAAAGTTTTGCAGATGGCGCTTTAGTATGGCGAATGATGTCACATGTTTTCTTTAAATTCATGTTTAAGACTCGAATTGTTTTCTTCTTTTCTTAATTAATGTATTCATTCAATCTCTTTTTTTTTTCGAAAAATTTGTATTTTTTTTCCAAAATAGTTTTTAAAAGAGATTACAACATTCACGGACATTTCCACTCTGTAGATTACTGTCCATTGTAGATCACTTTTTTTAGTCATTTGCCAAGAAGCAAAACCATTTGCAAATATTATTTTGATAGTGAGATAACAAGTTCAAGTTAGGTATTAACTTTAAGTTAAATTGCTGCTAAATTAAAGTTGATTATTAGTTTTGTTTCTAAAATTTCTCGTTACTTTTGTATAAACTAAGAGTGTTAATACCGAACTTGTGAAATATGCCCCCATTTATTTATTTTTTTGCCTCACTCCTTTATTACTGTTGTTCATATCGGAATCTTAGATATAAAATGCTAAAACAGGGTTTATAAAAGTGCTTGAATTTAATTTTGATTTTCAACTCTACTACATGAAAATCATTTATTTTTACTTAATCATTATGTTCATAAATTTTATTTTTTTAATTTTAAACTGAAATATTATAATTATTAAATTTTTTAAATTATCCTTAACTCATGTATCAACTGTTTTCAGTGTTTTGAAATCGAATAACATGTAACACATATTGTCAATCTAGCTCAAACATGCTAAACAAAATGCTTAAAACCAAATGCTACCAAAATGCTTTCCCTTTTTTAAATTAGATAACAGTTGCAATTTTTTGAGCAATAAAATTGAGGAAAAATTAAAAATCTGAAAATAAAATAATTAAAATCACCGAATTTAAATCATCCTCATCATTGGCAGGATGGGCTCTGACCTTCTTCGAAACATTTCTCAATGCACCTCTCTCATTTTCATAAGTAACAGTATTGAAATATCAAAATTTAAGTATTCACCTTGAATAAATTTGAAATTTCCACTTGGTCTTTCACTTTAGTTAAAACTCTGCTACATTTGAAAAATTTGCTGTGAAATATTGCATAGATCATATAACTAGGTTCAATGTTTCAATTTAGAAGTTGCTTAATGCTGTAAAAATTGTTCTTATCATTAACAAAAGAAATAATAAATAAAATACTAGTTTGCACTTGAAATTAAATATGACAGCGATGAAAAATGTAGCAGACCACATAAATGTGACAAGCAGTACTAATTTTAAACCTTAATATTTTAGTTAATTTCAGATTTTGTTTTTCATTTTTGATGATTTATATTTTTTTGTATTGTAGAAAAAGAAAAAAGAAGGAAGCTTAAAATTAATTAATGTTGCTAAATTTTGTTAAAATAAAAAAAACTCAAATTTTTTGTGGAAAGCTACGACACGACACCATTGCTAACTATCTAAGGTTATCATATAAAAAAATTTATACTTTTTATTCACATCTTTAATGCTTTTTTGCAAGTTCTATGAGTTACTATTTAAAAAAGAAAGAATTGAAAGATTTATTTCAAATGTTAAGATAATATAAGAAGTTAAAATTTTGAATATAAGACCTTTGATTTTTCTTTTTAAGGACAGTTTAACAATATTAATCATAAAAAGTATAATGGCGTTAATATGATTTTTTTTCTTCAACCTATGACCAAAAAAAAATTTTTCTTTACAAAAAATTAATCTGCATCTGCTTTTCATGGAATTCACTTTTTTCAAAAAAGACAGTTTTACTGTTAATAACTACAAACTAGTTTTAATAATAATATCAATTTCAAAGTTGCTTAATATATCATGATTAACTAAGTGATAGTTGAAAAACAATAATTGGAAGTAATTAATTCATTAAGAAATTCAAATAATTGTAATTTTACAATTTCATGTAAATGAGTATAGTAAAACCTGATTTTTTTTATTTTATAAAAAACTTAAAATTACACAAATAAATTTTATTAATTCTACTTAATTAACCAATCACATACAAAATACATTGCCAGGATGTGTAGCATTTTTAAAAAGTGCTTAAAGGTGCTTTGTTTTGATTTACGTTTTTTAAGACCCCTTAAAAGTACTTTTTTTATTCGGGGTTTGTAAAAAGTGCTTAATTTTCTATATCTTAAAAAGAGATTTTTTATTCAGTTTTGATTGTTGTTCTAAATTACAAAAAATGCTTGATTTTCACAAATTTCTCTGCAATAATTATCAGAAACTAGTTATTTTATCATGATTATATAAAGTTTTTTAAAATGTTTTTGAATTTTATTGATTTTGTGTTTATAAATTAAGAACTTTTAAACGATAGAAATTTTTTTTTTTTACTGCTCAGATCCTAATTATGATTTTTTTGGCAAGTGATTAAAATACTTTTTGAGTGCTTAAAAAGTAGTTAAAAGGTGCTTATTTTTTGTTGAAAAATCTTACTATGCACCCTGTTATGATATTTCTACACAATTGTGTTGGTTTTTTTTTTAGTTTCTTTCATTTTGTTCTGTTTATTCCAATTTCTTCCAGTGTCCATGAAGAACTAGGTTTAAATTAATTGCCAATTTTTCTTGAAAAATTTAGTAAAACGTCTTAAAAAATAAGAGTTAAAACACTGGAAAAGTGAAGAAGGAGTAAATATTTGTTTACAATTTTGAACATTAACTGTTGACTGTCTGGAAAAATGATATTTTGATCCCTTTTTTTTTAGGTTGCAGATAATAGCTGAGAAGTTAGCCGAGACATTCTCAAACATGAATCTTGCCCCGAGACATTATTCTGTTAAGCTTCACCTCACTCTCCTAAAAAGTAGAAGCTATAATGAAAAGCGAAGCTCTTTTGATGCAAGATCCATTTTGCAGGTATTGTATAGACAGGGTATCTGCGCACCTGGAAAGTTATGAAAAATCATAGAAAATCATGAATTTCGGTATTGAACAATATTTGTCATGATTTTAACTATTTTTAGAAAAAAAAATCACAGAAAGTCATAGATTTGTCGCCAAAATATCTAATTTTTAAAATGGAAGTTACCCCCCTCCCAGTTTCATGATGTTCCGACAGTCCGACAGAGCCGGATTATACCTTTCGTAGGCCCTAGGCACAGCCGTTTATGGGCCCTCCCCTCCTTCCCCCACTCCTCCCCTCTTTTCAAAATATATGCTAAAATTTTCTTCGTATGGAAACGTATTACGCCATTTTAGATGTATTAATTTCAGAAATGACTAAAAGGCGTAAAGCTTACAGTGATTTGTACGATAATTTCGGTTTTCTTGTTCACAAAAATTTGTCAGAATCTGAGATTAAACTAAAAGCGCAAAATTTGGTGAAAATTTACTCATCCGATTTAGAGGAAAACTTTGTAGATGAATTTTTACTATTTTCAAATTTGTATGAACATAAATCTGCACAAGAAATGTTGAAGGCTCAAATTAAAGATAAACTTGTGAATACTTTTCCTAACGTTCACATTGCATTAAGAATATATTTGTCGATTCTTGGATCAAATGCAGAAGGAGAAAGATCTTTCTCCAGATTAAAATTGATAAAAAATTATTTGCGTTCAACAATGAATCAAGATCGTTTGGCATCGCTCGCACTTATGTCTATTGAATACGACATTTTGCGTAGTTTGGAATTCGACAGCATAATACAAGATTTCGTTGAATCCAAAAATCGCAAAAAAGTAATATATTAGATCATAAGATTCTGCAAAATAATTTATTACCGAAAAATATTATATTTTTATTTGTATCTTCATAATTTTGTGCAAAATACACTTGTTGTTTTTAAAGCTAAATTATTTTTGTCAAAATTTTTTTTCTCCCAAGTTTTTCGTAGGCCCCTAAATTTCGTAGGCCCTTGGCACGTGCCTAGTGTGCCTATAGGTTAATCCGGCCCTGTGTTCCGAATATCTGAATTAGTAACAAAATCCCTACTCAGAGTCTTATTTTATTAAAATATAAAATGTTTTTATCCTGTTCTTTAAAAATTACGGTGCTCTTTCAAAAAATGAAAGAATAAACATCCTTTCTAGAGCGAAGTTATCTTTTAAACTTCTGTGATTTCTGAATTTTTGTTATTATTTTATTTATTTTTTTATCTATTTAAAATTGCAGCTGAAGCAAGCTTCATTGGTGAATTTTTTTTAAATTCCGAATTAAGAACAGAAAAATCATCAGTATTTCTTTACTTAATACTACTTAGTAATGGGATGAACAAAAAAAATGTCTTTAAAATAAAATTCTGCAGAAAAAAGGAAAAAAAAAATAATTTGCTTTTGTATTTTTTTCAGCTATTTTATTGCTTTTGACTAAAATTGTGGCAAAATATTTGGAATTGCCTTGCGAAGAAAAAGAAAAAAGGGAGTTGATAGAGGGAATTAAATAAGTTTAAAAATTTCTACGAAAGGAAAAACAATCAGCTTTTAATTATTTTCTTACAATTTAAGGGGGGGGATACTCTAAAATGTCCCTCTTAGCTACGACTGTTCATATTTGAGATTTTTTAACCTTTCTAGGTACCTAAAAAAATTTTATGGTTAAAATTACTCTTCATTCATCAAATCAAATGAATAGTCCTCGGAAAGAACAAACGAGAGGACGTTTCCAAACAAATATACGTTAGAGGAAACAGAGATCATATTTAGATTCAAGAAGTCATTTCATATAAGGATAAGTAAAAATCGTGTTGACGCAATTTTTTTCTTTTATTTATTTTTTTGTTTAGTACGCAGCGAAGTTAAAATTAATAAATTGCTCAATGTAGAGAACTATTTTAGAATTAAACGTTTGTAAATGGTGATCGGCGCACGTTAAATCTGTCGGGTCACAAAGTCTCTGAGGGTACTTAATTGGATATTGATCAGGAATGGTTCAGGTTGAAATTACGATCTTCGGATGTATGAATGGGTTGTTACTTATCTCCAAATGTCTGACAGCGTCAGACCAGGCATGAATGGGTCTGCCCTATAAATGGGCTGTGACGTGTGTGTGGCTAAAGTCATATTCGTGACCATAGACAGCGCCACCGAAAAACAAGAAATCTACCCTCTGCCTTCAATTCGCTTGATTTTTACCGAGCAGGCTTGCTTTTTTTTGCAAGTGGCCTTAGAAGAGTTTTGGTGGTTCAGAGGATAGGACACTCGCCTCCAATGAGGTGAACCGGGTTCGATTTCCAGAAATGGCTGATTGATTCGAATTCTACACCCTACGCGCACCGACCACGGTACTGATGTGAAATATCCTCATTGGTTGACGATCATGGGTTAGAGTCCCCTTGCCAACAGGCTAACCAGTTTTCATGGTTTTCCTCTCCATGTACGCAAACACGGGTTAGTTCTATTAAAAAATTCCTCCACAAAAGCAAATTTCCCCCAATACTTGATCCAGGTGTTCCCTTGCCTTTTGGATTGGATTCAAAATTACAAGGCTACAGAGTTGAACATTGGTAGCCATAAGCCCAAAAAATTAGGTCGGCTGTTCAACAACGGTTATAAAAACACGAGATGTCGCATTGGAAGCAACAGCAAGGATTAAATTTGAAAATAAAAAAGATACATTATTAACCAAACACTTAATATGTGTTTCTATTTGTAGATTTTAGAAGAAAACAAAACTGAAGAATAATTTATATTACAATAATAATTCGTGTGGTCATAGTGCGTGATTCTAGATTCATTTGTAGGGGCCATTTCTTGTGCATTTGTGGTTGACATTTTTTTGCCCTCTCTCATATATCTGATTTATTTTTATGATGTAAAACACATAAACAATTAGAGGAATTGTTCACAAAATGTGTTAAATAATTTATTAACTATAATTTTTTTTCCTCCAGAAATTCAAGGATTATGAATTTGGCCAAATGGAAGTGACTGAAATACACATTTCTACGCGTCATACTGGTCACAATAATAAATATTATTCTCCATCTGCTCTAATTAATGTTTGAAATGGACTTAGTCTGTACTAATAAAGTTTGTATTTTTATTAAAAAATTATTTCTATTTATTGGCTTATTTGCTCTTTATTTTACATTTCTCTCAACACTTAAAAAAAGTTACTACTGCTCTCGTCAACGCCGCCGTTCTTTCATAAAAGTTTCCTTCTTATAACACAAAAACTATTTGATGGGACAATATGAAATTGTGTTACTTTTTTTTTATATAAAAAAGCTACGTAATTTAGTATACAGGGAGCGTAGCGTTTTTAAGAAGTGCTTAAAGGTACTTATTTTCGATTTTCGTTTTTTAAAAGCCCTTAAAGGTGCTTTTTCCATTGGGTGTTTTTAAAAGTGCTTAATTCCCCCTTTTTCAAAATGAGATTTTTCCTTTACCATGTTGGTTTTAGCTGCGAATTATGCAAAAAGACGCAGTTCACATTTTTCTATTCAACGTTTTCACATTTCATTCGACCCCAATCTATTTCGGTGTATTGTCAGTCCGTAGCGTATGTAAACGCCATTCTTTTTATATGATTCAAAACTTCAAAATTTTTAACAATTGTCAAAAACAATGCCAAAAGTTTTTTTTTCTCGACATGACAGTTAAAACAAGATAAAACCGTTGATTGTCAAAAACTTTCCAACCCTGCCCAATTATGATATTTTTTTAAAGTGCTTAAAAATATCTTTTGAGTGTTTAAAAGGTGCTTATTTTTTGTAGAATAATTTGGCTACGGAAAACTCGGAATTGTATTTCAGCAGAAGTACAGGGCAATATTATGTAATTACATAGCTGCCAACACTACTGGATTTTTCAGTAAGATTATTGAATTTTGCTGGTCTACTGGTTTAATAATAATTCTCCTGAGTTTTGTACCCTAAAATTGAGTAAATTTTACTAAAAAGCTCCCAGAATTTTTGGACAGGTTATTATTGCTTGCAGAATATGTATTTAAGTGTTAATAATACATAGAGAAGCAAGCCTCATTTTTAAAAATCAGTTTGAAACTTTTCTTTTGTTCTAAAATGTTCAGTTTATTTTTTATTCAGAACTCCCTTTTTAAATTAGTTAAAAAATTTTTTTAACTATCTTTGATGAATTAAATGCCTATTACTATTCAAAATTATGAGTAAATACATAACATTTCAAGTTCATTTAATATCAATCATAACTGGAACAATATTGCAGTCTTTCTATTTTTGATGACTTTAAAATTCCCTATGTATATAAAATATTTAATACATTATGAAACACCTATCATGAAATTTATATTATTTTGTAAAGTCTACTGAATTTCTTCCTATCCTTGTTGGCAGCTATGTATTATGCATGCCACGTAATTTAGTTTAGCGAAAACTCAGAATATATTACTGCAGGGGTTGAACAATATTATGAACAGGACATCTGCAAGTCATGGATTTCAGTGTTCAACAAAATTATGTTATGAAATGTTTTTTTAAAAAATCATGGAAATTCATGGCTTAAAGTCACCGAAAAATCTAATATTACAATGGAATTTACCCCCCTCCCCAATTTTAGTGTTCAGAATATCTGAATTTATAACAAAATCCCCCCTCAGAGTCTTATTTTGTTAAAATGTTTTTATCATGTTCTTTAAAAACTCTGGTGTTCTTTCAAATAATGAAAGAAAAAACATCATTTCTAGAGTGAATTATCTTTTAAACTTCTGTGATTTCTGAATTTTTGTTATTATTTTTATTTTATGAATTTAAAATTCTAGCTGAAGAAAGCCAGTTATTGGTGATTTTTTTTTTTAAATTCTGAAATGAGAACGGAAAAATCAGGAGCATTTTTTTCCTTTGGGATGAACAAGAAAAGTATCTTAAGAATATAAATCTGCAGAAAAAAAAACTTATTTGATTTTGTATTTTTTTTCAACTCCTTTTATTGCTTCAACTCTTTATTTACTCTGTTTTTAAAATCAATAAATATGAAGATGCAGAATTAAACAGTTTTGGTTATACCGATCATTTTAATTAATGTTATTATAATGCATTTTTAAATTTATTGTTTTGTTTTTGTCGGAGAAAATACACTCTATAACAAAAAAAAATCGACGCACCAAGAAGGAGTTGTCCGATTGAAACGAAAATTGGTGGATAGGAAGACAATGTACAGAATAGTAAATGCTTAAAATTTCAGAACAATCGAATTATTTATTGCAGAGTTACAGTGACAAGTTCAATAAGGTAATGACCCGCCTCTAGCTTGGCATAGACCGATAAAGTTCTCGGATGGTATATTTCCTGCCAAATTCGATCCAAATGTCGAACGAAGTCATCAACAATCCGTGCCAGATGCAATCGCCTTCCCATCATATCCCAGACATGCTGATGGGAGAGAGATCTGGTGATCTGGCAGGCCAAGGAAGAGTTTGACAAGCTTGCGAACAGTTCATAGCAACACGTGCCGTATGTGGTCTGGCATTGTCCTGCTGAAAAACCAGCGCCCCAGGACGCTGGTTTTTTTTAACCCGGGGCGCTGCAAATCGAACGTAAGCAAAACAGGTTTTAGGATGTCGCCGACGTACCGCTGTGCAGTAAGTGTACCTCTAATGACGACCAAAGGGGTCCGGCTGTCAAAGGAAATGGCACCCCAGACCATAATGCCTTGTTGAGGGCCGGTGTGGCGTGCAATAGTGAAGGCAGGATCCCCCCTCTGCCCTGTGCGTCTCCAAACACGTCTTCGATGATCGTCAGGACACAGTTGGAAGCGGGATTCGTCGCTAAAGACTATACGTCCCCAGTCGGCATCATTCCAGCCATATCTGTTCAAAACATTCATGCATACGAAATTTCAAAGCAATCGGATGATTGCTTCTTGGTGCGTCAATTTTTTTGTTATAGAGTGTAGTAATTTCGTGAAGTCATGAAAAATTCTTGGAATTAGTCATGAAAAATCATAAATTTGAAAATCTAAAATGTAGCTGATACCCTGTATGGAAACACATCTATACTAACTCTGTGCAAACAATCTTTTTCTTAACAGCAAATAGTCCCGCAATGGACTGATCGTTAAGACACGGTTCCCAGCAGATCACCGAAGTCAGCTGCGGTCAGTGTGCGGGTGGGTGACCACTTTGATTAGTCTGCACAGGGACCGAGGGTGTGCGGTATCGAGGGTGTGCCATCCCCTCTGCAGAGGATCGAAATTGTGATGGCATGTCTTCGGATCATCCTCAGGGATGTTTCCCAGACCGTCGCCAATAGCCCATTGTGCAGCTCTACTGCGACGTAAATTAACAACAACAACAAAGTGCGACGTAAACTAACTACAACAACTTAACAGCAAATATTTTTTTTTTAATTTTATGTGGCTAAACTGTTGGCACTATATGAAATATCACGCATAAAGCTTTTAGATATGAGGGAGGACATTTTTAATCACGCAAAATTCGGATTGAGCTAAATGAGTGAAGAACTTTTTTCCAGCAATTTTGAAATTATTCTATGGGATTGTTATATTTATATTCGAATGCTTTATTAATTATAGTGGTTGTTCAAGAGTAAGGTAACATCAAACACCAGCGGCAGCCATAGCAACGCATGCGCACTGTTTACTGTTGCTCTTGAACGCACTGAACTTAAAGCACATTTGTAGCGAAATGTAGGTTAGAATTTCTGATTCTTAATTAAAACAATAAAAACAAAAATATCGTTCAAATCATGAGATTTTCTTTTATTCACAACTAAAGAGTATTTTATGCATGGTGCGTAGCGTTTTTAAAAAGTACTTAGAGGTGCTTATATTCGTATTTTAAAAGCCCTTAAAGGTGCTTTTTTTATTGGGTGTTTTTGAAAAGTGCTTTCTTTTCACTTTTCGAAAAGGGAATGTCGATTTTCGCCATGTACAATGTAAAACCATGCTTTTCACATTGTTCTATTCACCGTTTTCGTATTTCATTCAACCACAATCTATTTTGGTGTACCGTCAATCGTATCGCCATGTTTAATGAAATACTTATGAGTCCGCATGTGCGTCTACTAAGCTGGGTTCGGTGAGATTATTGCACTCTCATGTGCAACTCTGCCGCTGACACAAAAGCTGGCAAAAAAGTTAATAAATTTAAAAATTAAACAAAAAAAAAATTAATACGTACATTAATTACAAGTTTATTTAAAAATGAGATAGTTCTTAAAATTAAAATAGTGCCGTAAGTGGAGACGAACCTGGAACCTTCGATGGCTACAAAAGAGGGTAGTCTGCTGCCAGAAAAGGGAAATATTATTAATATTTAAAAATATAGGTATTTCGTAAGAATATATCACTCAATTTATTTAAAAATTAATTTTAAAAAAATATTTTTAAAAATTTAAAGAAATATGAAGCAATGGGGCAAAAAATTTGGAACCATTAGAGGCTGACTTACTATTGGTACGAGGCTATAGACTAGTTCTGTCGCAAAAGAGCTAATATTTTTAAATCTTGAGAAATTAAATTATTTTAAAAATTAATATTAGTGCTTCATTCTAAGATTATTACAAAGAAAAATTAAAATAAAAGATTTAAACAAAGGCTTAACGGCATACAAACCAGGTAACCTCTTATGCATTACAGCTAGTACTGGGCGCAAAACGTTAAATATTTTTGAAAATGTATTTTTAAAAAATAATTTTTAAAATTTAATTAACTTTTTATGTTTATAGCGAAGAACATTTTTAAAAATTTTATTTAAAAATTATTTTTAAATATATATATTTTTTTAAAAATAAAATTAATAAAAACCATAACGATACACGAACTTGATACTCTCTTCTGGAGCTTTACAGGTGGTACAATTCTTAAGGTAAACTTTGTCGCAAACTTTAATGTTTTAGAAAAATTAAATTAACAAAAATAATAATTTATTTTTAAAAAAAATTTATCTGAATATTTCCAAAATAATATTCATAAAAATTTGTTTTAAAAAATTATTTAAAAAAAAAAAAAACGATTTCAGAAAAACAATGTTCTATATTAAAATAATACTCAAAATACCTATCTCAGATTATTTATAAAAAATAGATATTAATTTGTGAAATATTTATATTAAACATTTTTAGTTAAAAATGAATAAAATTCCCTCGTAACTATTACACAATTCGTGACTTTAAAAAAAAAAAAATTGTTCCAAATACAAAAATTGCAACTTTGCAGTCAGTGAATGGAATGCTTTTATGAGCTTGTGTTTTGAAGCAGATCTTGAATTAAGATGAAGATTTCTATTATAAAATTCATTTGATATTTCCGGCGGCAAGGAGCTTTACGGAAGTAAGAACAGTTCCGCAATAATGGTTTTAAACTTAAGTTGCGGGGAAGATGAAGGTGAAAATTTCTCTCTTGTGTAAGAAAGACGTAAAATAATAAAAATGAAGCATTTGGAGAATTAAAAACATTTTTTATTGTTAACCTGAAGGACACTTCATTTGTTCTCCTTTAAATGACAAACCTTCGAATTAAACAATAAAATTACGGAGTATTCAATAGAAGTGCACTGCCCACCTAAGATGTTTAGTGCTTACGTCCTTCGAGAGATGGCGCTGTATTCATTTCATGTCACTTATGTGAGAGGAATGAGTTTTGGTTTCTATCTCAGTCCGTTACGCAGTTTCGGACAGTAAACTAGCGAACAAGGTGTGATGCCAGCAGGCGGAATATTTAAGTGTTCTTATTTGTGAAAAAAACTGAATAAACATTTTATTTTGTGTTGTGCAAACTATTTATTTTGTAAAGATGGATGTAAAACTGACCCTCTTGCTCTGGGGATTTACTACTCTCTCTTTTTTTGGTAAGCATACCTTTTTTAATATTTTATAATTGTTTTTGTCTGAAGTAATATTTTCAGATGTTCGAAAGTTACTTAAAAAATTTGAAAAAAAAAAATACCGCTCTGTTGCTTGCTGTATAAGAATATATTCCGAATAATTTGATTTAAATTAGATTTCCTTTTTTATTTCTATTTAAATCCGGTTTTTTTCTGGAGTTGTATTTTACAATCGGTTGGTTTTTATAAATATTATTATAACTGAAATATTTTTAAAAATACTTTAAAGAATTCTTTAGAATACGTATAGATCGAGTCATAAATTAAATAAGTAAAAATGTTGGAAACGAAGATAACTTATTTACATGCACTGTTATATTAAAGACATAAATAGAATTTATAATAAAATATCCAACTAATGATTTGTTGTAAAAAAAAAATCAACTTATTCGAAATGAGTAACACTTCAAACACTAAATTCACGAAACAATAAATTGCATAATAATATAAATTAGAATGATATAATAGTAAATTAGAACAGAGATATTAAAAATTGAATATCAGGTAAAAGAAGTATGGAAAGTTGAACCTTATTTAACAATTGGTTCATAAGTTTGAAACAATTAATTTTAAATAGAAGATAAAGAGGACTATTTCATTTTTTTAGTATTGTTATTACTATTTTAAAATTCATTGTGTATTTACTTGTAACGAGAAGCTCGCTATAAAGACAATTTAATATTCTGTTATAAATTGCCTTATAACGGTCACTACATTATTACAACTCATTGCTTAAACAATATATAGCACAATAAATAAACACAAAAAGGATAAAAAGAGAAACAACGAAGTAAATTAAAAAAATTAATAAGTTTTATTACTTATTGTGTTCTATTTTGTTTCAAAATTTTTTTTTTCGAGTGCTCCTCATACTATTGTATTGATATATTTTGCTTTGGCTATATTGATACAATATTAGAAAGCACTCCTTTTTGCGGATATAATCGTGTGAGCTGATGCAGAGATATCTTTTCACTATTTTGTAATTTTTTCCATGTTTTCTCTACCTTTGATCATTATATATATATATATATATATATATATATATATATATATATATATATATATATATATATATATATATATATATATATATATATATATATATATATNTATATATATATATGCATGCACGTGGCTCGTGAAACGCGTTCGCCCGATCGCGATTAGTGAATTTAGGGAGGCGACTTTTATTTTTTTATTTTTCTATAACTGCTGAAGTGCGATAAAAAATTGCATGTATTTTTAATAAAACTAGTTCAAATTTGAGCCGCTAAAGTTTTCGAAAGTCGAAAAGCATGCTCACATGCATGATTCGAGATTTATAAGTTGTAATAGTTTTGTATGGGCCCAGGATAGCCTGGTTGGTAGGGCGTTGGGCCCATGTCCAAGAGGTTGTGAGTTCGTTCCCTTATAGTAAATGGTGACTGGTGCACGTTAAATCTGTCGGGTCACAAAGCCCTCCATATTTCAGAGCAAATCATACCTCTGAGGGTACTGAATTGGAGATTGATCGTTTTCTGGCTCAGGACCGAATTACTATTTGTGGATGGATGTATGAATGGATCCGCCCTATAAACGGGCTGGGACGTATGTGTGCGGCAGGAGTTGAATTCTTGGCCATAGAGGCCACCACTGGAAAACAAGGAGAAGCGCACCCCTTTGCTTTAATGACATACGACAACTATTATTAAGCATTAAAAATAACGGGATTTTAAAATCTATTCAGAAATCCATAAATAATAACCACCGAAAAAGCAGTTCGAAAACGTGTTGCGAATTCACGACGAAATGGCATAAAGGGAATGAATGCTTTAAAAAGGTATACAAATTAGCGATTTGCAATTCCTCTGCGTAATAATATCCTATAAAAAAATATCAGGATTTCAGAAATCCATGTAGAAATCTGTTACAATAATGCTGGATAAAACAAACACGTTTTCGTTCCTTTTTTTTTTTTTAATTTTTTTTTTAGAAGAATATTCTTTAGTTATCTTTTATGTTTTCCTTCTGTGGACAAAACTCTGAAACTCTCAGAATTTCTGTCCTCAGTCTCATTTTTTTTCCTTCTCTTTCTTTCACCAAAATAATTCTACTTTTGAAATTTTTCTAATTATGTGTTTCTGTTTGTTTGCATAAAGAGAAATAAATCTTTCGTGAACATTATTCATACACTTTCTACCTCCACACTTATCAACAAAAATAAGCAAATCACACGTTAAGTGCTTACATAATATTTGAACGGCCAGTAATAAGATGAAATTTCCTTTTTAGCGAAATTGTCGCTATAAGCGAATACCCTTATTTAAAGTTGAATTAGAAAACATTAAGTTAAACTACCAATTTCTCTTGAAGTGCGTGACAGAATTTCTAAAAATAGAAGAACTCTTCTTTCGCCTGGAAGAAAACTTAGCCAATGGTTGCCCACAGAATGCTTTTTAAAAAATAAAGGGTTAATATAGTAAGAAAGATGTTTATTTTTTCTACGGACACCAGAAATAAATAAAAATGTTTTTTCATTTAAAATCTTATTCATACAAGAGTTTCAACAGATAAACAGACAATCTTTAATATTATTTAATTTATTATTTTATAACCGTCGTTGAACAGCCAGCCCAATGTTTTGGGTTTACGAACGTTCAACTCCGTAGCCTTGTAATTTTTTACCCAATCCAGAAGACAAAGGAACTCCTGGATCGATCAAGTATTGAGAGAAATTTGCATTCGTGGAGGACTCCTTGATGGAACTAACCCGCATTTGCGTTACATTGAGAGGAAAACCACGAAAACGTATCACGGTTAGCCTAACGGCTGACTATGAAATTAATCATGACGATGGAAATTAATCGATGACGTAGAAATTAATCGGAATAAATAGAATAGTATTAATAGAAATCGTAACTTCTCGTAATAATTCGCGTTCTTTATATGGAGCTTTTTCTGTTCATTAATCCGTTATTAGTATATTATGAAATATCTTTTTATGAAATGTAGCTAATGTCATTGGGGTTCACAGTATCTATAAAAGTAATAAAACTTGAACTCGTTTTGCAAAAATCTAAATTTAAAAGTTAAATAAAAACCTGAGAGAAATTTTAAAACCCCGTATTAAGGTCAAGAATAACGGATTATCCACCGTCTCGTGCCACTCATTTAAACAATGCTGCTGGACAAAACGCTTGCAGGCCTCGGAAACCGTCACGGTGATCTAATATTCATTATTTTGATTGTGGATTAAAATGGCGCTGAAAAAAGTTGCACATTACTGTTAATTATGCTTTCCTTTTCATTCGTTTCTTGTTTCTCTGAAAAGATTAAAAAACAGTGGGAAAATTTATATTATTGAAGGACTTTTTCCCTATTCTTTTCCAGAATAGTGAGAATTTTTTTCTCGACAAAAGGTTTTAAAAGAATGGAAGGCTAATATGAGAGAAAGAAGGTTTAAGAACCTAAAAATGACTGTTATTTTTAGAAGGATCACGTGAAGTAATGCTTTTATAACAAACTGCGCATATGGAAAGTCATGAATTTCGGTATTGAACAAAATTTGACGTGAAATGTCATGATTTTATCTATTTATTTCAGAAAATCATGGAAAGCCATGGATTTAGGTTGCCTAAAAATCTAATTTTTAAAATGGAATTTATTCCCTCCCCCCAATTTCATGGTGTTCCGAATATCTGAATTTGTAACTAATCCCCCCCCCACACACACAAATTATTTTATTAAAATATAAAATGTTTTTATCATGTTCTTTAAAAATTATGGTGTTCTTTTAAAAAATTGAAAGAAAAAACATCATTTCTAGAGCGAGTTATCTATTAAACTTCCCTGATTTCAGAATTTTTGTTAATATTTATTCTTTTTATTTCATCAATTTAAATTCTAGCTGAAACCAGGCAGTCATTGGTGAATTTTTTTTTATTCCGTAATGAGAAAAGAAAAATCAGGAGTGTTTTTTTTTTCTTCTGATGAACAAGAAAAGTATCTTTAGAATATAATTCTGCAGAAAAAAAAGGGTAAAAAAATTTTTTTGCTTTAGTATTTTTTCCAGCTGTTTTATTGCTTCAACTTTTTCTTTGCTCTGTTTTTTAAGTTTAAAATCTATAAATATGAAGATGCAGAGTATAACAGTTTTGGTTATACCTATCAATACAATTAATGTTATTATAATGCTTTTTTAAATTTATTGTTCCGTATTTGTCGGTGGCGCAGCATGTACTCATTTGGACTTTGTGCCACTAAACCCTACATTCAATCAATCAATCCGTATTTGTCGGAGAAAATTTCGTTATGTCATGAAAAATTCTTGTAATTAGTCATGAAAAGTCATGGATTTGAAAATTTAAAATGTAGCAGATACCCTGAATGAATAATGTGTGTGACGTCTGTTAGGTTAGGTTTTGCCTATATTTAGTCTGAGTCCTCCATGCAAAACTTTTCTAATCTAATTTTTGAAGAAAGTGACTCTGCATTATTCATTAAAAAAGTTTTAGAATTATTCATTGATTTTGATGATTAAATCTCGCCAATGATATTTCTTTTAAAATTTTCCCCATTTTGTCACACTAGATTATAAAAAACATATGCTCAAGCAGGTTAGAAACAAACATATTGGAGAAACCATTACAAATTTTATTTTTAAGCAATATAATAATGGTGCACAATATAATACTAATTGAAAAAAATCTGCTGTTTTTAATTATTTCTATTTTATTCAAAATGTGGGATGTCACACGTTTTGTTACACACTCCCTCCCCTTGTCACAGAATGCCAAGAACCCCATCCAGGGGTCTGTCCAGACATTTTGTGAAAGGTCCGGTTTTCATGAAATTGTGAAAACAATTTTCACATTCTTTTAACCAGGGTCCGCTTTTATCAATTTGTGCAAATAGGGTCCGGTTATTGCAAAAAACTTTTTCAAGGAGTTTTTAAATTGTAAATAGATACATGATTATGCTCG